AAACATGAATTTCCTCTAGTGTGGAGTTTTTAATCACTTACTTGCTTGTTGCCAGTTAATTAAGTGATTTGCTAAGCAGTATTTTGTTCAGAGATCGTGACTTTTATTTGTTTTACTATTTGTCAAAATGATTGTTTATTCAGGTACTATGTTTCTACAGAAAATACAATTTTGTGTACTAAAATATAAATATATATTTAAATATAAATAATCAAATATTAGCTGAAACAGTTTCCATTTTCATGGATGATATTTGTATTGTGACAATATTGTTTGTAAGAACAATTTTATTAAAATATTTGAGAATTTGAAGTAACAAATCATTTTAAAAATATTAAGTATTGGCACTTATTCAGTGTTTACCCTGATAATGTTTTGATCTGGTATGATGTTGTACAGCATAAAGAAAACATAAGAAATATAAAGGACGGCAGGAGTGCACTCTGACTTTACAGACTCTTTCTGGAAAATCCCACATAAGGACAATTTATTTTGTATTCTTGGTTTAAAGGGCCCAGTTTTTATTTTCGATATTAATGTGAAAGTAATGTAAGTTGAACATTTTGCCATTCATAAGCAAATTAAAAGTTTCACTAAATTCACTTGTGTTGTGTTTATGGTTATTACACATAAGCTCCTCCTGAACCTAGAGTAAGGTGTACTTACCCAGTAGTGGATTACATTGTGGAAGAATGAAAATGTATATATTCATACCTCAGAGTGGGCATAGACCAATTGATTAATGACTGATTCAATGCAACAACCAAAAAACATGCCTTAGCATGGCTAAGATGCTTATGGTGACTCATATATTCACTTAGGAATTTCCAACTTCAGTGAGGAGCACATGGCCTGAGTGCTATTTCTGACAATTCCTGTCTCAGGTTGACTGCAAAGCACTTATTCTCCATGACCAAAATTATAATGAACTGCCTTGTGTGTGTTCACACGATTTACAAAAAGTGTGCATAGCGCTTAGTAGTTATCATTTTTGTGTAACTGCATGAGTTTTGTCCTATATTCTAGTCTGTTCTTGTATGGCTTCTGAGAAGAGCAGTCGTATATATTTAAGTTGAAGGCCGTTGTGTTATATGCTGCGAACAAGTGCCTGACTATAGAAAATGATGTGGACATTTGTGCCCATCAATGCGGTTCACACCAGGACCAGATGTGGTGTTCTTTTCCGATAGTATGGACAGTAATTTTCTGGGAGTTTGCTTATGTTACTAACTTTTGTAATGGTTTCTTTGTTGTTGTTTTTTTACAGAAATCACAATGAGTAAAACAGGGAAATCATCCTGTGGGAGTATTGTTTCATGGGAAAAGCTAAAATAGATGAGTTTTCAGATGGAAGATGAGAAGTGAATGTGTTGTTCTGACCACACTGAGAGGGTCTTTCCACAATTGGTTAGTACAATAAAGGAGTTTGGTGCGTCAGGCTGGCCCAAGGCCTACAGTAGATGTAGGGACTTTTACTGTTGTGTCTGATTTGAATCAATACATTTGAGTTTACTCGCTTTATCTGCTTAAAATGCGATTCATTCAGGAACTTGGAAGTAAAACCCCCCTAAAAGTTTGCCACAATGTAAATCTATTTTAGAGAAAAATGCTTCTTACATTACAGCAGTCAATACTTTGAAACCACAGATGATTCTGTCCTCATAAATACTGCTGTTTTGCACATACACTTTTTAAAATCTAGCATTAGCTTCTTTTTCGTTTTATTCTCTGTTGGTTTCTGGATGAACTGCAAACTGCTAAGGAACATACTTATAACCTTTTTATATGCTGCAGAAAACAAATAAGCGCCAATTTTCAGTACTATCCCAGTATTTTGCTGTCGACATACATATCAGTCAATTCTGAACATCAGATTTTGTAATTAAACTTCTCATTTGAGGTTTTTCAGATACAGCAGCACTACTGATTACGAAGAAGACCACCAGTGTTCATGGTTGACCGCCCGGGAAGTCGTCAGGGCATACAGAAGATTAAGCACTGAAGCAAACAGAAACATGACTTTAATTGATTCCTGGTGAGGATCATTCAGTGATGGTGAAAATCTTCTGACTCACTTCCTAAGAAAAGTGAAATCATAAAAACAAAAAGACACATCATTCAGTGTGTGACTTTGGCTGTCACCAATGTTTATTGCGTGCCTCCCAGCTTTCCAGAGAAAAGGGTGCCCAAATCCTCAGTAAGTACCAGGAAAAACAGGCAGTCTCTTCCACAGCAGTTACTGGGCTGATTATGACAGTCACGCTCTACAGTAAATTAATGTGGTTCAGAGCAGAGGTTAGGTAAACATTTTATGTGCTGAAGTTGCTGTTGACGGATTTGTCACTGACACACATGCTGGTGGTTTATGTTACGTCTGCTGTTTTAAAATACAGATGGTACATCCAGTGTTGTAAATGGGTTTTTAAGCAAAGAGAAAACAGGGCTGTTTTGTGGTGTGGTTACCACTATGGAGTCAACCCTCAATCCAGGAGTGTGAATCACTTGCTTAATTAGAGAACGCAATCTAAACCACATGTAAACAATTAGCCTTCAGGATAGCAGGGTTGTTCCTATGTATTTGTGTGAGCTTTTGTGTGTGTGTGTATGCATGTTTGTGTGTGTGCATGGTGTGGACATGGAGTAGGAATGCTGCACTTTCACAGACCTCAAATAAATCAGTAACTGAAAATGGGATGATTAATAACTGATGGTACACACACACACACAGTTATTTCTCTATGCCATCATCTATTATGTTTTGTCTCAAATATCATGTATGTTAATCATAACCTTTGACTTTGCTTTGGTTTTCCAGCCTGCAACTTTAATGTTTTGGTTC